GGTGGATTTTATTTGGATGTGTCAGGTTCCACAGTCCTCCTCTGTGGAGAAGGTGTGAATCCTCTGTGGAGGCAAGGTATGAATCCTAGTCAAAACATAAATTATTAATTTCTAGGCAACCCCCTTCTGACTCCTGAAGAGGAGACAAGAAAAATGATTCAAGGAGGAAAAGGGAGGCTGTGATCCATCCCTGCTGACACTTCCTGCCCCAGAGATCAAGGCCATTTAAGAAAGGGCTTTGTGTGAATTTTCCCCCCTGGACTAAGATTAATGCTCTGCATTTCCTATTCCTTAATATTCTTCCAAGGGAAGAGGCCTCAATCCACTTTTCCCAGACAATGTCCTTATGAAAGCAGCACCATTAACCAGCTGTGAGTTGTCCCAGGCCTGAGGGTCAGACGAGGAAGTGCCGAGCAAACCCAAATGAAATCTGGCCAAGCTCCTGTGAGGTGGCTCAGCTTTATTTGCCTCCAGTGCCCTTGCCATGGCAGTCAGGAGCTGTGCCTGCTGCAGTGACATCAGTGCTGCTGCCTGGGGCAATCCTTGGATCAACTGGGAATGCCCTGGGAGAGGCCACCAGGAACAAAGTGCCCCTGGGCAGGAGCTCAGGACAAACACAGCCAAGTGGCCCTCATGGAACTGAAGCAATTGGTTGGCACACCCCCTTTATTGAGTGGAATCCAAATGTCACTGGAGTCAATGTAATAGCGAAATATTTCTAGCAAATGACTCGGAGCACTTTGGAAAAGTGTTTTGTGCAGTGCTCTGAAGAGGAAAAACATGAACAGCATTACTAAGGCAAATTTAGCATTACTAAGCAGTGCAATCACCTTAGCGCTGTCAAAGGAGTCATCGGGTAGGAATTATTAATTTTTCAGTGCAGCTATTTCACCTGTTGGCAGGCAAAAATAAAATCATGTGGTTCAGATGTAAATCATAACATTCAAGTGTGTCGGCCTGAAGAGTCCCAGTTCTGTGAACCCTAAAATTCTGTGTTAGTAATTCCTAAACCAGTGCATTTACACATAAAACCAGCATGAGAATGAATGTATATTGGCTAATTAGTTCAGAGTACACAAGTGGGAGCAGCTCAGACCAACTAACGAGCTTGTTTCACTGCATTCTGCATGCATTTTGTATATTTAATTAGTATTTAGATCTTACCATATATGTTTGCTAGTTCAATAATAAAAGAAATTTCCTGTTCAGCTGAGAGAGTTCCTCTTTGTTTCTAGTCCTCTTAGGCTGGGAATATTCTTGGTCTTTTGCTGTTTGAAGCTTCCTATTGGATGAGTTTTTCTCTTTTTATTTAATGCAGTTCCATATGTGGTCAGTGCAAGCAGGATCTGTGGAACTAAGATGGAAAATGGTAAATACAGAAGAAGCTGTGCTTAGTCTGTAGTATGAATTTCATGTGAACTCATTTTCCAGAGGTTGCTGAACAAGCCTTAGGATAGGCAAAGGTTTACAGTTGAATCCTCTCAGGTTAGAGATCACTGTGAGGCCAGTTGTTAGTGCAAGTTCAAAACTACTTCTAACAGAGACTTACATCTTAGAGAAGACCCTTGGAACTGCAAAATGCCACGTATCCATGTCATGGAGCTACCCAGAGCTCCTGGGGAGGCCTGGGCTGGCACTCAAAGCATGGGAGTTGCTCTGAGGTGAAAGGGAAAGCTGCTTTCAGATTGTTTCCTCCATGCTTTGAGGGGAAGAGAAAGGTGTTGAGTACACTTAGATCGCATTTGTTTGCAGGATGTGGAATTTGAAACACATGAGAAATGTATATTCTGAAAATATCAGCATTTTTAGAACATGGAGGGAAGATCAAGCAAACACAGAGTCACAGGGTGTGCTGAGCTGGAAGGGACCCACAAGGATCATCCAGTCCAACCCCTGGCCCTGCCCAGGCCCATCCCCAAGAGTCACCCCCTGTGCCCCAGAGGATCATCCAAACCCTCCTGCAGCTCTGGCAGCCTTGGGGCTGTGCCCACTGCCCTGGGGAGCCTGTTCAGTGCCAACCACCCTCTGGGGGAAGAACCTTTCCCTGAGATCCACCCTGAGCCTGCCCTGACACAGCTCCAGCCATTCCCTGGGGGCTGTCCCTGGTCCCCCCAGAGCAGAGCTCAGTGAATCACCTTCCATCAGTAATATGGTGGCCCTTCAGCACAACACTGCATGATGTGTGCCAGCCCCTCAGACTTCCCTGATTCATGAGCTCAAACAACAGATCTGGAAAAAACTTAACTACAGATGCCAGGCAGAAACCAAGCACAAAGCTGAACAGCAATTGTTCAGCTTGAGCAGTGCTGTTAGCTACAGTGTTAAGAAAATATTGAGCATTTCAAGAAAAAGAAGGTGATTCACGAGCCTTTCCATTTAATAAATGAAACCTGCAACTATTTTCCCCATGAAATGAACTGCAGTTCACACAAACCTGCTCTGTGTGCTGCTTTTGCCCAGTAATCCTGAGTCTGATTACTTGTCTTGGCAAATGTGGACCCAAACCTCCTAACTTTTTATCTGTGCCCTTTCCCAGCAGTTCCCCCTCTGTTGCCAAAGCACATGGAAGCAGATATGGCCAGCAGTTTGCCCTCTTGCAGGCACGACGCAGTTACAGTGTCTGGGATCTTCCCAGAGCTCTTTGGGAATGCTGCCTGTGTGTTCCACTGAGATAGCTGGGGTGTTTTCCTGTCGTGGGGGTATTTATGCCACTGGATGGGGTCTGTGGCAGGACACAGCAGCCTTGCCAGATAAACACTGAGTGCTGCCTTTGAGCTGTCAGTTAGCTCAGTTAGCAGTTCCAGCTGCCCCCTTTGCAGGGTTTTGTGGGTTTTTTAAGGGAAGAACCAAATGGATGAAAAGTGATAAATGCAACACTCTTTTAGTAGAATGTGAATTATTGCCATGGAAGAGATTCCCTCTTCTTTCCTCTTATAAGGACAGAAAACATATTCTCCCAAACTTTTTTTTTTTTCCTGTGTTCTGTGCATCTTATTTAATGTGGTGGTTGCTGCAAGCAGAAATGTTTGCTAATTGCTTGTTTTTGTGTATTTGTAGCACTGAAGCCATACAGTAAAGCAGTTTACTATTTTATGCATGTCTAGTTTATAGGCACAAAAGGGAGTGGTGAACATACAGTGTTAATGATTTATTTTATTTTGGGGAAACAAGGAACATCATTTAGGAGACTCTCCATGGGATTTTGCAGAGTGCAATATTCTGCATTCATACAAAATGGTGGTTGTCTTTTAAAAAGTTGGACAGCTCAGTGCAGGAGAATGTTCTAAAATTATCTTGGTGTGTACAGCACAACGTCCCTTTGTGTTTATTTGAAATTCTCTCCTGCAGAGATTACTAATGTAGAATAAAGCTAGAGAAGTGAGGGGTGGCTGACACACTGTTTCAGTGTATAATTATTTTCACTGTTAGATTTGGAGCCCTTTTCCTAGTTTGATGTTTTAATTTCTACTCCTAGTCATTTGTTCAGAAATTTCTCTTCGTGTAGATTCAGACAAGGTGTGATCTTGGAATTCCTTAAATTTCTCTTTATTAAAAGAAATCAATCTCCTTTTAATTTTCTGATCCTTTATTTGCATTACTGTTGTTCTTCTGATTCTTCTGCAGCTGATTCTTCCTGATTTGTGGACATTGATGCTGAATTACTGTAGGTTATCTAAACATGGAAGTAAATAAATCTTTCTATCCCTAAGTGATGCTCCCTATTTTACCAAGGAAAAGTGGTGTTAGCCCCTTGCTGCAATGTCACACCTGGGAGAGCATCATTACTGGATTCTGGGACTCCTCTGCATTGAGTCCTCAGCTCATCCCTTCCCTCCTGGTGTACAATCTTGCTTTTGATTGCTCAGCCCTGTGCACTCACACCTTCCCTCTTCTTGTTCCCCTCTGGGGATCCCTTGCAGGTTTTCCCACTGCAGTGGGTGTGTTGTGTGCCAGACCCCTGGTTATGTTCCAGGGAAAGCACTGAGTGTATTCCCTGCCCCAGGCTACACTTTGTTACTGATCAGTGTAACCCTCTGCCCCGGGGCTGTGTCCTTGCCCCAAAGCTCTTCGTGTTCCAGAGGTTCTTCCAGCAGTCCCCCCGTGGGTTCAGTGGCTGTTGCTGGTGTCAAGGCACTCATCCTGCAGGGACATGGATTTATTCTGGCAGGGGGTGATGAATCAGACTGACCTTCCCTTGGTGCAGGAGGGGGAGCAGCAGCCAAGGTGTTACAGGCTGTAACTTCTCAAGCTGTCTCAGGATGTCACAGCAGTCAGCAGTGGAGTTTGACTCCATATCACTGAAATGCTCTGTCAGGGGCAAGAGGGACCTGCAAACATCCCTGTGAGCTTCTGCTGCCTTTGCCTTGGGCGTTTGTGGCTTCTTGCAGAAGCGCCGGCACGTGGGGATTGCAGCCCACCCGCGGGGAACAATTGTTGATCATCACCAGCCCTGCTGGGAGATGCTGGGCCGGCCCCAGGAGCCCACAGGGAGCTTGGTGCAGAGCCAGGCAGCCTTTGGCACCTTCAGCAGGTGGCATCCAGAACCCAGCCCAGGTTTGGAGCCAGGAGGAGCATTTGCAAATTGTGTCTTCAACTGAACTGCCAACAGCAGCATCAATTTTGGATCTTCAGAGCTCTCCCATCTCACTGGCCTAAGCAGAGCAGGTGGAGCAGCAGGAATTGCTGGCCTTGGACTCTTGGGAATTAGGCTGGGGAGAAAACAATTGCTTGAGTTACCACAACAATTTTTCTGCGAGGATGGGGCACACAAGAGGAGAAGGGAAGAGTGTACATCCTCTCAAAGCTGTTACATCAAATCTAGAGCATCGAAAATAGTAAAAATGCAAGACAAATTCTGGAAATTTCTTAGAATTTTAATCAGAAGCTTTTAGAACTGTGAAAGAGAAAGTTGGGTGAATATGAATGTTCAATAAGCATCCATTATTTTGATTTCACATAAAATACATTTTTATTGTTCACTCTCCAGGAAATTCAATAATATTTAAAATTATTTTTACTGGTTATATTCTCTTTACCAGCCCATCTTTAAATGTATTCAGTAAGGGATGCATATATAATCATAATGGTTTTGCTGGCAGGAAACTCCTGAACCCAGGGAATAGATGGTTGAGTTTTTCTGCACACGAGAATGGTCCTACCAAGCCCACTGGGACACAGAGAAGGTAAGGAGTTGCAAACTCATGGAACTTGTGAATGAGAAAAGAGTTGCTAAAATAGTACAATTGGTGTCCATCTCCATATATTAAAAAGCGCAGGATTTGGGGATGTAATTCTCCTTGCTGTACGAGCTGAGAATTCAGTGGAAAATGCTAAGTTGAATGATCTAAAAAAATTCAGAAACAAATTTGGAATGTGCTCTTCATACGAGTGGTGGCAGCAGAGTGAGCCTTGCCTGTCCACAGCTCACCAGGAGTCCCTCGTTCGGGCATTGCCCCAGCCCTTGACCCTGGGATGAGTTTGCAGCTGTCCCCACTCAAGCCAGTGTTGCCAGTGCCCTTGCTTTGGTGGCAGAGGAGCTGGATGTTTCTGTTCCAGCTGTGGCAGTGCCCAGCTCAGTGTGCCTTGTGGTTTTTGGGGGTGTGTCTCCTCAGCAGGCAGTACCGGCTGAGGTTGAGTTGGCAGACGAGCTTCTTGGAGAATTTCAGAGCCCACGCTGCTAAAAGAAGTGTAATTATCGCTCCTGCCAGTAAAATGAGGTCTCGCCAGAAGAACTCCAGGCACCTGACCGGGAGGAGCCTCTTGCACATCCCCAGCTCGTTCCCGGTGAGCTCTGCCAGGGCTCTCATGCTGAGGGGGGCCGGGCTGGCACACCTGACACTGTGCAAGGAGGGCGCGGGCAGGTCCTGCAGCCACAGCTTCATGTGCAGGAGGTGGCAGTCGCAGTGCCAGGGGTTCCCGGCCATGTCCACGCTCTGCAGGCCGGGCAGGCTGTCCAGGAGCCCCGCGGGGACGCGGCTCAGGCTGTTGTTGCGGAGGTCCAGGCTGCGGGTGTTGCGGGGCAGGGCGGGCAGAGCCCGCAGCCCCCGGGAGCTGCAATCCACGTGCAGCCCCTTCCACCCGCGCAGGGGCTCGCAGCTGCACGACGGGGGACACGCTGAGCCCCGGATCGGCGGCAGCAGCACCGCGGCAAACCCCGCGGCAGCCAGGAACGCCAGCATGCTCATCCTGCCCTGCCCGGGGAACAACAGCAGGGATCCGATCAGCGGCATTCCCGAGCATCATCCCAAGGGATGCAGCACAGCTCCTCTCCCAGGGTTGCCCCCACGGCTCAGGTTTTTGGAGTGCAATCTTTAGCTGTCTGCATTCCTCCTGACATCACCACAAACGCACCGCACAGAGCACAGCGCTGCCCTTTTGTCCCTGGTTCTTTGCTTTTCCTTCCTAATTGTACAAAATACAATTGTTCAAAGTTCTGGGACACGTCACCACAAGACAATGGTATGACCTAGGTTAGTCTCAGGCAAAGTATCTTCATAGATCTAGTGTTAAAACTGTGTGTTGGAATCACTTTTCAAAATGAGCCTTCAGGGATTGAATTATTGTAAATGTCTAAACATCTTTTTTTGGACAGTATGAAGTTCTAACCAGGAAATACCTATTTTTATGTGACAAAAAGTTCTTTTTTTGCCACCTTGCAGCTTCATGCACCTCTGATAACAGACAGTTTAAGATTTGGATGAATAGAGAATTGGAAATTTTGCGTATCTGGTACTGCTTGTCCTTTAGGGAATAAATAAACATGCCAGCAGGTAATTATGCCTTTTGCTGTGTCATTCCCACTTCTGGAGGGTGGATCCCACTAGACTTCCATCTTGGTCCTCTGTGTTTGGCAGTTTAAAACCTCTAAAGCTATTCCCTTCCTGCATTCCCTACTACTTCTCTGCATTTAAAAATACATTGCAAATCTTGACACAGAACTGGAACTGGAAACACAAATTCATTTGAATAGGTTGGGGAATTTCCAATTTGAAATCATCTTTCTTTATGGTTTTAATACATCCTAGAATTAAAATGTATTTCCTCCTTTTTTTCCCCCAAAGAAACCAAATACAGAGTGAAAGAATACAGTGTGGTTTTTTTACATTCTAAGGCAATAACGAGATAAAATTACACTAATGTAGAATGAAATTTAGAAAAATAATTGTTCAAAATGGTTTCAAGTGTAAAGATATTTTAGAACTAAAAAAAAAAAGTTTCCCTCTTAAAATAAGGTGAGATAATTTTTTCTCCGGTAAGTATCATTTAATAAAGACTGAAAGTGTAGGGGAAAATGGATTGAATTTGTTTTAAATTAATTTGCTTCTATTTGTTTTCAAGGATTATGTAATTAGCTTTTCAAAATGAATTTAGGCAGGTTTAGACTCCTCATCTAAACACTACATTGTTATATTTTGAGCTGGATTAACGCTGCATAAAATTATAAACTTCACAGACAAGCTGAAATACTGCTCTTCACCTATGCCTGTCAGCAAGTAGTTCTTCTATCTTTGCTCTGACTCCAGACACTGATCTGTGATTTTCCAAGTTGTTTTTCTCCAGGTAAACATCTTAAAAGGACAGACTATGCCATCTGATACAAAAAGGTTAAGCGATATCTAGAGAAAAGATGTGCTCTGCCGATTTAATATGGAAACAGCAAGGAATCCAGGCTCAAATAGGAACAGGAACTGTGGCAGAAGTGCAGAAGGGAAGAGCTGAGTGCCACTCACCCTGCAGGGGCTGCTCTGGGTTCCTTGGTGTGCTGGGAGGGGCAGCAGTGCAGGCTGCTCTGGGAACAGGAGCTGCTGCTGTGCACGAGGAACCCTCCCACTGTGGGGGAACCCTCCCACTGGGAGATAGATCCTGTGTGGCTGGCTGTGTCCCAGCCCACAGTGCTTGGGGCAGTCTGTGTTGCAGACAAGGGGAGATGCTTCTGACCCCTTGCTTTGCTGCTGATGTGTTTTTCCTATTGCGTCTAATGACATCTGGAAAACCTCATCTGAAACCTAGGGAGTTTTTTTCCTCAGCTATAAAAATCCACAGGTCTAATCTAAAAGTTACTCTGGGCTTCAGATGCTGACACACACAAGCCCCAGCAGGACCTGAGGGTGCTGAAGTTTGCCCAAGAAATGGAGCTTCATTTCTTGTCAGTCAGGTGGGTTTGACATCTGCCTGCCCACTGCTCAAACAAAACTTGTAAAAACACACCATAACATCAAAGTCACTACGATAGTGAGATGAGCTCAACTCACACTAGTCAGATGAGCTCACTGATGGATAGAGAAATATTAATGCCATTGACTGGAACTGAGGGAGCTGAAATAGTGTTGAAGTCACCCAAAATACAGGAGTTAGTTCTGGTCACCAGTGTTCTGAAAGGTTTCAGCTAGCAAGTGAGAGGATCTTCTGTGAAGATCCAGGACTTGGAGAGGTGGTTCTATGTGAGGAGGGAGAGAGTGACCTGTACCTTCAGTGCCAGCAATGCAGAAAAACCTGAGCTGGAAGGACTCAGACACCACCTCAGGTGTGAAGAAGGAAGGGGGGGGGAGTGTGTATCAAAGTACCAATCCCTATTTTGGCCCATGGGATATTTTGTGGAATTTAATTTCTCTGCAGTGTTCTAGCCTGGTTTGGAGTTCAGACCCAGATTCCAGGATAGTCAGGGAAGGTGCCCTGGGAAAGGCTCCAGGTCAAGGCTCCCCTGAGCCAGAAGAGCCCAGGGCACAGGGACAGCCTTGGCACAGGTAGAGCCTGTTTTCCCAATCCAGGAGCTGGGGATAGTCCAGAGCAGAACTATGATCCTGCAGATTCTCCACACTCAGGTTGCTGGAGGATATCAACTGCTAAATAACAGCCATGTGACACCCTCTGTGTGCATTTGGCTGGAAAGGCAGGAATTCAGGAGGATGCAGGTCCATGATGTACATGTACCTCTTCATCTGGTTGTGTAAAACAAAAACAAAAGCAGGATTTTCTTTTCCCTTTTCTTCTAGTGTGCAAAATGTTGGGATAGAATTGAACAAAGTTGTCCTTTGCTTTAGCTACCAGTCATGAACACACTAGAATTCAGATGGTAGCTGACATTTGGAAACACTGTTGGTTGTGGAGCTGATGTTTGATCCAGGCCAGTTTGATCCAGTGTTGTTTTGGGGACAGGCTTTGAGCTGTGTTCTGCCCCGGGGAATGAAGCCCAGGTGGGGTTCTGGTGCTGCAGATGTGCAGCAGAGCCGTGTTCCAGAGCTGTTGTTCCTTTACAACGTGTGTTCCTGGGAGGAAGAGAAATTTCTGACATACAAACTATTCTGGTAGCAATTCTTATTGTTTAATTCTCACTTCTATGTAAGGTGCTTTTCCTCATTAAGTCTAATCAATTCCCAGGAGCCTGAAGTTTGTCAGGAACCTCCTTAGGAAAATGCCTTAAGGTGTTTCTCTGTTCTTTAGCATTTAAAAGGTAATTCAAACAGTGCCCGAGGGAGAAGACAAAAATCCTCAAACCCTATGGGAATTTTGATCCCTTCTGTGAGATGAGAAGAGTAATTCCTTGTTGAAAAGACTTCCATCTGCCAGTCAGATATTCAGTGGCTGGACCTGTGAGTGGACTGATAATTGAAAGATTCTCCTGTCTTAGGGATTGTTTCATTGTTTTGGAAAAGACAACCCTCGGCAAGATTTCCTGCATGTCTGCCTGCCCTGTGCCTGTTTCCTGTGTCACACAGTGTGTGCCACGTGTCCTAAGGAATTCTGCCCCTCAGGATAACCTGTTACTGGCTGTCCCTGCTGAGTTCCAGGCGGAGGCAGAGGGGGATGCTCGTGCTGAACCCCCAGATCTGTTCCCTCCTTCAGCTCTGGGGTGGGAGTGTCTGCAGGGAGTGTCTGGCAGAAGAACAAGGTACTTGCATTTATGATTTTAGGGCTCTATCTTTTTGTAGGCCAAATGAGGATTCTTCATCTAAGAGGATTTTTTAAGAGCCAATCTGAAAAAAATAGTTATAATCTGCTATAATCTTGTTATGGTCCAAAAGTGTTTTTTCCGCAGAGTGGATGCCTTTGAAGTTCCTGTGAATGAAAGAGGCTCTCCCTCCTCTCAGTGGAGAGGTATTTTTGAATGCTGTTGTTTACCAAGCAGCCCTCTCTCACCACCTCACCCCTGCACGCACATTTCCCTGGATCATCTGTCCTTTGAGGCCTCACGTGGGTGCTGCATCTGCTTTTACAGGAAGAGAAGGAGTCAAGGGGACATTGCTGGTTCCCTTGTGGTTAAGGACAAAAGCTGCAAGTTACAGATAAATGTGCTGTTCAAACATGTGACCTGCCAAGAGGAAGCTCAGGCAGAAGATGTGATTATCTTTTATAGTCACTTATAAGGAGTTACAGTCATTCATTGCTGTCAGTGACCTGTTCTTGATCTGGAAACACTGAAGTTTTCTCGGGCACTATTTCCATTTCCAATGCTGAAAAAAACTGGCCCCACCACACTGCCATTGCACAGCAAAAGTGCTTCTCATTTAAGGTCTGTCACCTTGATTAAAGGTGTTCTTTTGCACTTTCAAATAAGTTGGTGAGAACAAAATATATCGTTACAATTGGATGTGAGTAGCTGGTAATTAATGAATTATATATAAAGAAGCAAGAAGAAGGAAAAAAAAAGATCAATCATGAAATTCATTCATCCATCAAGGAATATTGCTCGCAGAAATGAGCTGAAGAAAAACTGGTTTCCCTCAAATCAGGAGTTATTGTTACCCCAGGCCCAAAATATTCCTCTTACCCCCAAGAGAACTGGCCTGTTAAAGCCTTTTGAGTATTTATACAGAGGAGGACTCTGAATTTCTCTCTGTCCATACTCTGCTTATTGTAGTGTTTCCTGCTGCATATTTGTTGTGGGTTTACCTGATGTAATTTTGCCTCTGTCAAATTAAATATCCCATTTCCCCAGAGGGCAGATGAACTGTTGTCACTTAGGAAATTCTTCTAAATTGTACTCCACCCATTTTCTCGGGTCACTCTCTCTCCTCCCACCTACTGTGATGCAGAACCTCCCTCCTTGCTGTTTGCCCTGCTCGGTCCCTGTGCCATCCCCAGTCATTGCTTATCTTCCCACTAGGTGTCATTCAAGTTATTTTGTGCTGAAATATCGAGCATCCCCTCTCTGAACCAACCCCTGAGCTATAATTTAGCCATTCAG